TGTATGTCTCTTGGCTGATAGGGTACACATTGGCAAGGCTGCGTTCCTGCTCAATGTTTAAAAGGATGGCAAAGCCTACAAGGAATGCAAAATTAAATTGGTTGATTATTTAACCAGTCTTCTCCTTTTTCTAAAATTTTTTTCAGGAACATTTTAGAAACAATTCTTTTTTTCCAGACTTTCCAGTTTTCTCAATTCTCTTCCTCTTAAGATATCTAAATATATTCTTTTTTTTTTTTTGCAAAGAAATGCCAAAACAATTAAATACTGTATAAGTCACAATTTCCCCTATTCTATTTTGTCATGACTGTACCTAAACCCCGTAATTCATTTATTTATATGTATAGGTAATTTTGTGCACGCATAATTCATGCTGAACTTTTTTTCTTCTCCATTATCTAGAAATATTACTTTAGTTAGGTTTGTACAGAACTTCTCTGTAATAATTTTGAAACTCAACTGATTCCTTGAAGTGAATTAACCCAAGGATGCTTAGATCTCTGGGAACATGCTGGAACCTCATATACCACTGTTACTTAAATCAATCTCCTTGAACTTTTAGAGATATCTAGCAGACCTCTTGGGATTTTAAGGTATATTAACGGATGCACATTGGATAATGACCAGTCTACATCCCTTAAAGCAAATTTGGAGGTCCTCTTTGTGTGTCAGGAACTCTACTTATGCTTTCCCATTTAATCCTTATACAAACCTGCTGAAGTAATAATAAGGTAGCAGTATTTGGGGGGTTCAGGTGTTTTTATGTATATGAAAACTGAGGGTAGGATGGCTATGCTATTTGGACAGTTGAAGGCTTACCTTTGAAGGAGGAACACCTTTTTGACAGGGCCTTTCCCTAAAGATCCTGGACTTACCAGGTACCAATGAGCATAAACAGGCTTTCATTCTGTCTCTAAGGCCTGCCTGGCCTAAAGGAGAAGAAAGAGAAAGCTTTATAATTCCACATGTGAGTAAAGGGCTTCAGCTTACCATGCCAGGTAGGATACAGCTCATACCAAAGTGGAGGAGGGCATTGTGCAGCTTCTGTTCCTCTTGGGGAACTGTGTCTTGCCTTGTCTGCAGTCTGTGTGTTTCAGCACTGTGACATAGCATGTGTCCTTTCCCACAGGCTGTCACTGAGAGGCCAGTTATGTCCTTTAATATCCTTGGGGCCAACTGGGTATAGTCCTGACCTTTTTTCGTGGTTGCTGGGCACTCAAACTGAGCTACTAGGCACTAATTAGCCCCTTTTAAGTGTGTGTGTCTGTGTGTCAGTCATGCTCATACACGTTAAACATGGCATTAGCACTGAAATTCAAATCTTGCATTATAACCTCGGTATATCATCCTGCTTTGTTTTTAAGGCCAGAAAGCATCAACTAAATTATGAAATAAACTAATGAGCAAAGAAAACAATTTTTACTCTAAAATAGCATTATTTGGGGATTCAGTTCTCCCTTTTACACTCTCCTAGAGACCCCTCTTAAGAAAAAGGTTAGTGACTCCAGTGTCAGGAGTCAAACTTACTACCTGTGTAGAATTTGCCCCACTTTTTTAGTGTACAACCAAGGGTCCTTTCTGAGACGATGGCCGGTCTGTTTTAGCAGATTGCCTTAAAGAGTAGAAAAAAAATAGGTCGTAGAGACAGTGAAGGGAAGGTATGGACCAAAGTTGTTCTTTATCTACTCCTTCAATGGCCACAATAGCTAGGAAGCTGACCTTTTGTTTGTATTGATATGATTTTAGTTGTTTTATGTTCCTTGTTAGTCTATTTTTACCCCACAGGATAAACTTACTCAGCTGATCTGAGTGAGTAGATGAAGGCACTTTATGTTGGAACATTCTATTTAAGGTTGAGGCAGGGGAAAGAATTAGGGTAGAAATTGATTGTTGAAGGGCCTTTTGCAATTTCTACTTTCCTAAAACAGAACATCTTTCTTATTCAGCTACCATTAACCTTTATTTAGAATGGAGTAAATCACTGGTTTCACAATTTATGTGATACACTAAGGCCTGCTGGTGAACAGCTTGTCTTTTTACCAGATGTCATTAGTCACAGTGTAAATGCAGTGCCTAGAATAATTTTACATCTTATTGATGGCCTCTCACTGACCTGAGGCCCTCAGTTTTTTCTGGAGAGGGAAATATTATCACTCAGCTCACCTCTGCCTCACTTGCACAGATGTGCAGCTTACCAGCTGCTGAAAGCTTGTCCACCAGTTTTGCTGAGGGTTCGAATACATGGATTAGTTTATAGATTCCTTGTTGTTCTTGTGCTTTAGAAAAGATTCAGGGATATTTAAGTGTTTTCCAAAATTCAACTTTGGCATTCTCCTGGTTCTGGCCTTGTATACTAGGATTATATGCCTTCTTTTAGAGACAAGGTAAAGGAAGAAGACATTGAAAATCTGCAATTTGAGATTTTTCTGTTCTCTCCCTGTGCTGTAATGAGGCATCAGCTTGCAGAAGTGGCTATCAGAGTAGAAGAAGCTGGAGAGGCAGAAGCTTACATCCTTGCAGTGAGGGTTGGTGAGCACCTCTGCCCCCTTCCCTGCTCTCCACCCATCTGACAGACTTCTGCATTAATATACTTGAGCCCTCTGAAGCCATCAGGACACTCCAGAAGGCCCAGAATAGATGTGAGCGAGTGAAGCGACACCTATGGAAGATGTAATTATGAACTAAATGCCTGTCCTTACACAATACCTGAGAAAATGGGATCGGACTTTATTCCTCATCCTCAGAGAGATGTCAGGATGGTCAGTACTTCTTCAAGTGAGAAAATGGAAGAATGAGTGATAAACAATATCCAGGGGTTTGCGTGAGATACAGCCTGGCTCTAGTGCTGCCATGTTCTTGGGGAGAAGAGACAAAGCAGAGAGAGTTGAGGATTGTGCTCACTGATACAAGTCTTGAGGAGCCAGCCCCTCGGCCTTCTTCCCATGAATACAAAGATCACATGGGGCTCCTGGGCTCAACCATATGGTAGACTCTGGATTTTACAATCCTTATGCCACCCTTATAGGAAGACTCAAATAAAGTCTAAAACATGTCTTTTTCCAGACTTAAAGGGCCTAGTTGTGTCTCTTCATTTTGTCTCTTGATACCTCAGTCCTAGACAAAGTCTAGATCAGAATTCTTGAGGCTTTAGCTTCCAACATAGGTCTATTCCACCCAAACCCTTGTCATAAGAATAAGTCTCTGAATCCTCTGAAATGTAGTAAGATTTGCAGTTCATTCCCATGAAACTGGGACCTGCCTGTTTGCCTACTTATTCAGGGACTGCAAAGACTTCTGGAATTTTTATAAGACCCAATATTTGTCTAGGATTAAGAATTTCTTATTAAAAAAAAAGAATTTCTTATTATCCAGTTAGCCATTACCACTTTTGATAACAGTGTATAGTACTACAAATATACTACTTGTCGTCTGGGATGCGCAGGCCTAGTAGTAAAAGCTTTAGTTTTGTGGGACAAAAAGCAAGCTCTGAGTAGTCCTAAGCAAAACTGAGAAGCAGGAGACTTTCTCCTGTCTGATCCACTTCCTCTGTCAGTATTCGTCTCCTCTTTTATAATTGATTGGTTATTTTTATCCCAGGTATCATTTATTGAACGGCGTTAGTAGATGTATCCTCCTATCAGTCTTATATATTCTGTTGTTCTCCCCATTTCACATGGTGAGGAGATAGGGGACTGAGGCTTATGGCATACAGTAACCTTCTAGCAGTCACAGACTCAGGGAAAAGCAGGACTGGACTCGCTTACGTGGAATGTATCTTCCTCCTAGCATATTCTTTCCCATCTCTGCTAGGACGGCGCTGAGGAGGTAAAAGTAAACTGAGACTCAGCCAAGATGTCAAGTGATTATTAAGATTTTTATGCGGCAACCACTTAAATTGATTATAACCACTTTGGCTTTGCTTCTGCAGATATTTCTCTTTTAAACAAGACAAAAACAAAAGCAAGCCATAGAGATAGGACTGTGGGTTAGGGCTGTCATTAATGCAGGGATTATCAGAGATTCCTCAAGTCATTCCAGTTGGTAGTTCTATGTTGATAAGCTAAGTAATCCTTAGTAGAGTTCTATGTACATAACAATTATTAGCTGATTACAGTGTAATCAAAATATTCAGTGAATGTTTAAATTAAAAACTATTACGGTAAAAGATCCCTTACTCTTAATCCCTTTCAGAATATTCCCCCTTCCTTTGAACGTACTTATCCCATTGCTCTTGCCACTTTCTGAAGCAGTTCTGGAAGTCTTCTTTCATGAATGTCTTTATGAGTTGTAATAAAAAATACATTGAATGCTGCCGCCACCAAGTGCTATGCAGCAGAAAGGCAGACTCATAAAAACATTAAGGTGTGTCCTTATCTACCTTATTCACCGGATCTGGGATCCTGTGACTTCTGGCTCTTCTTCAGAGTCAAAATAACCATAAAAGGTAATTATTTTGAATAGATTCAGAACATCGAGGCAGCTACAATACAACTAAAGACACTCAGGAAAGAGGACTTCTAGAACTGCCTCAGAAACTGGCAAGAATGATGGGTTAAGTGTGTTCAAAGCAAGGGAGAGTATTTTGAGGACAAATGTCAATGTACCTTTTACTGTAATAAACTTAAAAACACATTAACAGTCTGTTTCAATCATACATTATAAAACTCAGTCCATCTTCTCATTAAGTGTAAGGTGCATAAGGAAAGCTGCTTTGTTTAATTTTACCCTATGACAGCCTCCATACATCTCCATATATGTATCTGGAAATGTGAAATGTTCACTGTTCACAGGTCAGGTTTTTGTCTTAGATTTCGTACAACATATAGATGTATACTTCAAGAGAAATTAAAAAATGACACTTACTTCATGGAAATTTTGTGTTTGGCTTTATTTTATCAGTGTTTCAAAGCAACCAGATAGGAAGGCGAGCTTGCCATGTTGTATTTCATTGAAACGCTTTCATGATGTTTTATCTTGTTTGTTTTTTATCACAATTTTAGTGCAAATATACTTTTGGATGATCAGTTTCAACCCAAACTAACTGATTTTGCCATGGCACACTTCCAACACCACCTGGAACATCAGAGTTCTACAATAAATATGACCAGCGGCAGCAGTAAACATCTATGGTACATGCCAGAAGAGTATATCAGACAGGGAAAACTTTCCACAAAAACAGATGTCTACAGCTTTGGAATTGTAAGTGTTAGCACTTGTAAGTTAACAAAGGATTCAGAGTTTATTGCCCAGAATGTTGTAAACTCTAAAAAGACATTTTTAAGAGCTTTAACTTATTCATTTTCTATCACTCATTATCTTATACATTAATTTTGAGTAATCAGTGAAATAAAATATGAAGTATCAGAACTGTATTGATTGTCGTAGGTAATAATTCAACATATACTGTATATGTATCCACACGTACAGTTGACTTTCTATATTCCTTATAGGTAATAATGGAAGTTCTGACAGGTTGTAAAGTGGTGTTAGATGATCCTAAACATATTCAGCTGGTAAGAATTGTTTTCCTGTTGGCACCTATTTTCTGGTGGTTTTTCTGATTGAGTTCCATGTGATAAGGTTATGTCCTCCTCTTCCTAGCGGGATCTCATTATGGAATTGATGGAGAAGAGAGGCCTCGATTCATGTTTGTCATTTCTAGATAAGAAAGTACATCCCTGTCCTCGGAACTTCTCTGCTAAGCTATTCTCTTTGGCAGGCCAGTGTGCTGCAACTCGGGCGAAGTTAAGACCAACAATGGATGAAGTACGTATATACCTGGTTCTATTCAAACTGAGCCATGGAAAAATCTAAGCTGGATAAATTACGTATCTATCGTCTTTATCAGTGAGACAAATCTAGCATCCCATAGAGAATTCCAGCCTAAAGATAATGTTTCCAAGTCAAAAAGTCACATCATTTGGTACTCAGGTAGAGGTTGTTATTGGGTGGAACCAGAACATCCCTAAAATTTAATAAAAGTAGTTGGGAGGAAATATTTTATTCAACATTCATGAAGATATCTGGCCTTCTAAAATATGTCACGTATTTCCCCTATTCATTTTTCAGTTTATTCATTTGTCCGTAGATGTAACTAATCAGCCTTCCATCTGTCTGTTTGTGTATAAATAAATACCAATTTAATGCCCACCTTGTATGTGCAGAATTTGTATTGGGTGCTGAGGATAAAACAGTGGTTATTACCTGCCAGGTCATAGTCAAGGGGCAGTCAGGTCACTAAACGTGAACTTCTTGTCCAGCAGGATAAGCATAGCAGTAGACTGAAGCTCAGGCTGTGAGAATGTAGAGTCAAAATATATATCAGCCCATGGCTGTCCAGGAGTTTCTTGATGGAGGTGACAGCTTTGCTGTGATCTGGAGACGAGGTTGGGGGTAAGCAGCAGGAAGAACAGGAGGACATTCTCAGCAGAGAGAATCAGCACCCATGAAGGTCTCTGTGTGATGGAGACCCAGAAGTGAGACTGCAGGCAGTGCGTGATCATGGAAGTGGGGTGGGAGAGAGGCAAGGCTGTAGTCACTAAAATAATACAAATTTCAAGTGGTAAGGGTATCTGAGTCTCATTCTAAAAGTTTGGATTTTGTCCTCAGTCTATTGTGGAGCTATGGAAAGGCTTTAAACAAGGAGTTGGCATAAGAGTATGTGAAGAGCACTGCCCTGGGAGTCACAAAAGCATATTCTAGGCCTGACACCACCAGGAATAGCTGCACGGGCTTCTGGGCCCAGCAAGGAGTTATGAGCTGTGCCTTGAGTTATGAGCCAGGAGATCTGGTGTCAGGCATCAAGGCTGTTTTTTACCATACTGTGATATTGATTCCCTTTTCAGACCCTCAGATCTTTTATTTGTAAAATCAGAATAATGTTGTTATTTGTATAGATTAAATGAAGCAATATACATGAAAACACTTTCAGGTGGTGAAACTCTACATATTGTTAAAAATTGTGTGTGTGTGTGAAGATATATTTTATCAAGGATTCTCAAATTTGGCTGCACATCTGAATCATCTGGGATGCTTTTGAATTACAGATTCCTGGACCATCATCTTCTTAATTTTTTTTTTCCTGGTACCAGGGATCAAGCTCAGCACCTTAGGCTTGCCAAGCAGGCATAGCTCCACTGAGCTACATCCCTGGCCCATCTTCTTACATTTTGAATGAAGTCATTAGGTTAGAATCAAGCAATCTGTATGAAGTGAATGTTTACATTTTTAAAAACTATTATAATGAAAGACTTATTGCCATTAATTTCCCTCAAAATATTCTCATTCATTTTGGCATACTTATCCCATCATTGTTGCCACTTTCTAAAACAATTCAGGAAGTCCTCATTCATGAGTGTCATTGAGAAGTGTGATCAAAACTATGGTGAATGCTGCTTCCTAGTACCATTCAATGGAACGGCAGGCTCACAAAAATATTTCTTGGATCTGACATTGTGTGACTTCTGGCTCTTCCCCAAAGTCAAAATGACCATGTAAGGTAAATATTTTGAATCCATTCAGGACATCAAAGTGGCCATAATAGTGTGACTGAAGACACAAAGGAGAACTTCATTTACTTCAGTAAATTTTTAAAAATTTAAACACATTTATTGCATTTTTCAGTCACATTTTTTATTTACAGAAATGCTCCTTTCAGGTGATTCTATAGATCGGGTCAGCATTGCATCTTGCCCTTCCATTCACCACTTGTTATGGTTGGTGTGAAAAGTCCACTCACAGCCACAAAGCTAATTGGTGGCAACTCCAAGGCAGAAATCAGTTTGCTTGATATTTATTTCAGTGTAGTTCCTTTGATACCTTATTTCAAGTCACTTGGTGTGCTCCTCAAAATGAAGGGCTTTTGCTAATGTTTAATTAAGGTCTCTTCTAATTCCAAATTCTGAAGTTAAACTTACTGCATGAAATGAGAGAATATTCTTTATAGGTAGAGAAAAACAAATGAAAGGGATGTTATTCAAGCTTAACTATGTTTATTTGCTTTCTTTGTTAATTAGGTCCTAAATGCTCTTGAAAGCACTCAAGCCAGCTTATATTTTGCAGAAGACCCCCCCACGTCACTAAAGTCCTTCAGGTTTCCTTCTCCTGTATTCTTGGATAATGTACCAAGTATTCCAGTGGAAGATGATGAAAACCAGAATAATCATTCACCACCTTGTGACAAAGGTTTGAGGAAAGGTAGAATGACGACTCCAAACATCCCTTTTGAATGTAGCCAGTCTGAGGTTACATTTCTGGGCTTGAACAGAAAGACACGGAGTAAGAGAAATAAGGGTACTTGCAACATGCCCAGTTTTCCTTGCGAAAGTTGGTCCTCAAAGCATACAGCTTCATCCCAAGACATACAGGCCACTGAGGTAAATTTGGACTCTTCCTTTGAAACCCCAAGCCATTCTTATGACTTACAGAAGCAGGCCAGTGAAGACTAGGTGCTCCTCTGAATTTTTCTGGAATAAACACGAACAGTACAGAAAGGAATAAATCTCACCGGAAGGCAAAGAAGAAAGCAAGTGTTGGTGAGGCACCTATGTAAAGGGTATCACCTTGGGGAAAGCATGGTCCCCATGAGCAATGCTTGGAGAATGACAAGTGGTACATTTGGGTTATGCAGACAAAGAGTAAGGACAATTTCATTCCTACCCAAGCAAAACCAGAGTGACTTAAACAGATGTTTTATCAGAGTAACTGCCTCACGATCATACGGATTAGTCATTCACAATTACTCAAGACCCTGTGATCTGACATAAGCCAAACAAAACAATCAAAACCTACCAGAAAGACTGGATTCTCATGTCCAGCATCACCCAAATGAATCCTCAGAGCCCTCTCTGCTAAGGACGTTCAGTTGGATCCTATTGTTTGGCCTAGTTTGCTTGTGAAGGAAGTGCATAATTTGAAAATGTTAGTAGATGTCTTTTAAAAGAATTGCTTTTTTCCTGTGACTGGCCCTTTGTACTTTTGTGTTATCAAACTTACCTTTCTGAAAATGAGCTAGGTTTGCCCTTGGGTAGGTAGGGCTTGTTCTCTGCAGAGACTGGATTCCTACCCAAGATCTATCTGTATTTCTTATTTAAACTCTTAGGATAGTTTATTACATACAATTTCGTTGTTGACCATTATTGGTGATTTTACTAACTCAGAGACCTATTGTATCCTGAGTAGAAGGTATGACATTTTAATCAAGTAATTGTTATTGCTGAGAAAATAACTGGTCACCAGAGTCTAGGTCAGCTTTTTTTGAGTTCTATTCTGTGCCTTCCAACTGTGTGCCTTTACTCCTACTGTGTGTTTGGATCTCCCCTCTTGAAATCCTAATCAGTTGTCAAGCTCTTTAAACTGTCATCCTCCAGGAAGCCTCCTTAATCTCTCCAGCCAGAAGTGTTCACTTTATCAGCATTTCCAAAGCAACTTATTTGTATTTCTGTTTTATGCTTGTCATTTTCTGAATTATATCAAAGTTGCTTATGTCATCCTGTCTCTTACTAGACTGTAAATGCCTTGTACTGTATTCCTTTTCTATTGTTGTAGCAAATTATCACAAATGTAGTGGCATAAAATATCTCAGTTCTAGAGGTCCAAAGTCCTTCGCATTCCTTCTGGAGGCTCCAGTAAGCCACCTGCATTTCTCACCTCATGGTCTCTTCCCATTAAAATGATCTAGAAGGCTTGGTAAAAGCTCAGCTTTCACAGCACCACTCATTGTCTGATCATTCAGTCTGAGGTTAGAAGTTGGCTAACTGGTTCCCAGGTGGTCCTCAGGCTGCTGAGGTGAAGCACGCTGAGAACCACTGCCTTAACATTTTCTCACATTCTTACATATTGGCAGATTCTACCATATTATTTTATGAGAAAAATATCATTGTTTTTGTATTCACTGTCTTACCTAGGATATTGGTTAGCTTGGAGTGGGAGCTCTAGAAATGTTGTTGACTAATTGTTTTATTAACTATATCACCTTTCTAGAGTGTCTATTTTGCACATCTAAAAACTAAGTCAGATGAATTGGCAGTGATCTGATTAATGATATGATAAGCAGATGCTACTGTGGCTGAAAAGTACTTAAATCTTCCATTGAATGATTCAGACCTCCTGACTCGATTTGGTGCATGTTAATTGATAGGACTAAATCTTACAACCTGCTATAGGTAATCAGAGGGTACCTTCATGGCTTCCTTATGTGGAAACTAGGATGCATGAAGAAACCAAGAGTGAGCTTCTAGCCTCTGGTCAGCCAACATGAGTAAAGAATTTCACTTATCACAGGGAGCAGTAGCACACACCTGTAATCCCAGCTAGTCAGGAGACTAAGGCAGGAGAATATTAAATTTGAGACGAGCCTGGACAACTTAGCCAGTCTCTGTCTCAAAATAAAAAGTGCTGCAGATGAGGCTTAGTAGTAGACCCCCTGCCTATCATGCTTGAACCCCTAGGTTCCATCCCCAGCACCACAAAAGTAAAATAAAAATAATTTACTTATCTCCGCCCTTAGCATAACAGAAACAATCTTCTAGGCAGATCCTATTTTCTATGCTTCTTAGAGTTTTTGTCCTGTTTCATAATTACCTAAAAATATGGAGAAAATATTTTGTTGTTTTGAAAATAGGTATGGAATTTCTGACATCATCAGTTTTCATGACTTTTTGAGTGTTGCAGTGATCTGTGACTTACTGAATAATAGTGTAGTTTTATGGGTTGGTACACCAGCCTGTGTAGGACCACTTTTAAGACCCATGGTCCAGTGAGGCTAGGATACAAGGTTTATCACCAGTGGCATTTACTACGTATCCTTTAGAATCAGGCACTGTGTTAGCTAGCAAGTTGGGATCCAAGTAAGGAGCAGTTTAGTAAGCAGGAAGGTGTCTACTCAAGTTACCTGTTCGGTGACATCTGTTATTTGAGCCATACACCAGTGGAACAGAAAGTAAATGCTGAAAGGTAGAGGATAAGAAGTAGATTACTATACACTTTTGAGAGAGTGAATCCTGAAAAGAGAGAAAGAACAAAGAGAAATAGAAAAGATCAGTGAAGAAGCACTTCACAATGGTTATCCCAGGAATGGGGATGCCACCTTGCCATCTCTGGGCTGGAAGGATGGGCAAGAGTGATGGGAACTGGATGTCGAGCTTTTGGGTGTCTTTTCATGCTTAGTCCTTACAGCTACCCTTGAAGATGTGAATATCACCTCATAGATGAAGAGACTGACTCACTAAGGTCCTCCCAGATTTGGAAAAGGTAGCAAGATTTGAACCCACATTTGTCAGACCCCCAAAGCCTGTGATCTTGAATACCACATTGCACAAAGGAGCTACTGAGAGTTCAAGCTTATGGAAGGGTGTGGATATGAAAAGTTATTTGTCAGTTTGACATATTTGTGGTAGGCATACAAGGGTTGTTACCACTTCTACATTTTTCAGTATCCTGCTCTGCTAGAGACATGTACTTCTGCAGTCATGAGACATGTACTTCTGCAGTCATGAGACATGTACTTCTGCAGTCATTTGATGTGACTTAAGTAAATCCATCCATCCATTGATTCACTGAATAAATATTTATCAGTGGCCTCCTTTGCATCAGGCACTGTTGTAGGAGCAGGGTACATGGTGAAAGTCAAAACCAACATAGATCTCATCCTCATGGAGCTTATACTTGAGTGAATAGATCTCAGCATGTTCTCTAGTCATAGGTCCCAGGTTCTCTGTGAGCTTTTCTTAAGGGATTCAGACAAGTTTCCTCCTTGACTGTTGTATAGCTCATAATCCCAGAGTGCCTTGTTGCCTTACTGTTAGTGTACTCTAGGCAGTGTATGGCATATTTTGTGGCAATGGCGACAGTCCCTATTTTTTTTATTAGAATTTCTTCAAGGTATTTGTTTGGCTACTGATGGAATCTTCAGCATGCTTTTTCCAAAGGGTCTGGTGTCCTACCCAGTTCTCACCTCACTATGACATAATGCTGGAATTGCCTATAGAATTATTTTTCTTCCTTCACAAAATTGAAAGTTGGCTGGGGACAAAGGCTATGTCCTGCTCATTTTTGTATCCTTATTGGATAGCATTCTACCTGGGATGTAATATGGCCTGATAAATATTTGTAAAATGAGTGAATCAAACAGTTCTTCAAAATGTCTTCAAACCTATTGGTATGTATCAGTGATGGTGAACTGATGGCACACATGCCGCAGCAGGCTGTTTGGTATTATTGAAAGCTCTAAAAGGTTTGCCATCACTGGTATATACTATGTCAAGACTATAATCCAGATTGCACCCAGTTTTTCTTTCTAGTATCCATAATATCATCAGTTATTTTCTTACATAGTTCCATTTCACCGTTCTTGGATGAAAATTATTACAAATATTAATATCTGAGATATCTTTGAAAAGAGGAATTTGACCTTGTATATGTTGCATACAAATTTTCCCTATAGTGGGAAATATTCCCAAACCATGTTAAGCGATGATAAACCAATATTTTGGCAGAGAATGAACTGCTGTTTGTTATGTTTTGTTCCTGTCTTTTTGTCACAAAATATTTTTTTATATTTGATTGTCTTTGGGTTTGACTTACAGATATTTTTTGAGAATCACTTTTATGCCAAAGAACTGTATTGCCTACCAAATTTATGAGCCTTTTCATGAATTATCTGCCTTGTTATAATCTTTCGCAGTCATCTCTATAAATAGCAAGAGAATATTTAGAGTTTTTCTTTGGTTCCTTAACTTTAAAATATTCTCAGAAACCAACATTAACAAGAACAAAAGATAATGGGGTAAAAAGAGCTTATTTGCAGAAGATGCAGACTCAGTTATCACTGTTGTATGCAGTAGTGTATGAGGTATCATTTCACCTTTAAACAACCTATTCAGCTAGATTCTGTTACTGTGGAACCAAGCAAAATGAGCCTAAAGAGTGTCAACTCTTGTCCTGAGTCACACTACTGTTGGTTTGGGAATGCAAACTAGACTCTTCAGTCAAATTCAAGAAGTATCTGCCCTGAAGAAAATTAACAGAAATTAAAAGTATCTCCTACTTAAAAATGAAAACAACTAACCATAAGTATATGTGTGATTATTATTTTCTTCTTAATTTTGTTCTCCCAGAGTGACAAAGCATAAAGCAGTTGAGAAGAATATGAGCCAAGCAGCATTGTTCACTGTTAGCTGGCATGAAAATTGGTACAACCATTCTAACAAACAATTTGGCAATATGTAGCAAAACTTTTACTCAGCAATGTGTTTTTGGATTGATCTCAATAAAAATTACACAGCTGTGTAAACACGAGCCCAAAGATGTACTTTGTGGTGCCTATGACATTAAAACATTGGAAATAACCTAAATATCCACAGTAGAAGATGGGTTAAATAAATTGCAACACATATATGCAATTAAATTGTATGCAACTGCCATTAAAATTACTTAGATTTATATTTATTGCTATGAAAATCTGTTTATGAAATATTATTGAGTGGAAAAGCAGACTACAGAACGGCATGTTTAATATAAGCCTACTTAATATTGGATGTTTTAACATAATATATGTTTATGTTTCATAGAGAGCCCTTTGCCAAATGTTAATGATTTTTCTTTTCTGGGCTACAGTATTTAATCTTTATTTAGATCTTTATGTATTTGAACATTTTATAATGTGTATCATTTTATTATCTGAAAAGAATAAAGCCATTTTTATTTTGGAAAATATTCTCTACATTTCTACATTTGTTTGATTCTTTTCATGTCCTTGGTAACAATCAGGAAGCAGAAATAATGCTTCTGTCCTATTGTCCTTTATTATTTCTTGCTTCCTACCTAGTGTCTGAAGCTATCAAATGTATTTATGTGGTATCCCCTGAGTTGTCTTTGAGAGGACATTCAAAAAGCAATCTAAAAGGCAAAAATCAGAGAAGCTGAAATACAAAACAGATCACAGGGTACAGCTGAGAGTATTTTGTAATTAAATATTGGTTGATTTTGATAAAATCTTTTAAATATTACCCTTAAGATTTGGCCTTACAAATCAGTACTTTAAAGAGTTACCTACAGTTGTATGAACAGATCTTTGAGGAGATAAATTTTCTTTCATAAAATATTGAATACCCAGACTCATGCTCCACTATCCATTTTTAGTGTATATAAAAGCTTTAATGTGCTCAATTTAGTAGACTCTTGGCTGTAGTTATCAGTTAGAAATAAAACTTGGAAGAGTGCAGACAGTGTGACTGAACACAGTGCATTTCTGTAGCAGGTAGAGATGGAGCCTATGTAACATTGCTAGTGGGATCTGCAGTAATGCATTGATTATAAAGGAAAATAGCAAGGAATATTCCAGGGGAAAATACCAGTTCTAGTAAGTTCTATGTGGAGGGACTGTTTTGTGGACATAACTAAGTTACACAGTGTGTAAATATGACATAAACATTTCTAGACAAATCCAGCTAAAAGAAAGGAGTGGTAGATATTTAAGAGCATAATACAGTGACAGATTTGTTCTTTTGATAAGAAATCAATGCATTGTGTTTCCTAGAAGGGAAATTTCAGGTGAGACCAACTGTACAATTCATTACTACAAAGATTTCAGCAAGAGAAAAGTTAGGGAATCTAACTCATATGCAGTGTAAAACGGAACCATTTCTAAACACATTGAAATGAGGTATAAATAACATCTGACTTTATAATTATGATTATGATTCATAAATATGATTATGATTGACTTCATAATCTTAATGTGTTATTCACTAATGATGATTTCATGTCATTCTGAAAGTGTATAGGCTAATTATATTCCAACTGTCAAACCTTTAAACATTGAATCTTGTGATACTTTTTTTTGGTACCAGGGATCGAACTCGGGTCCTTGCGCTTGTGCAGCAGGCAGTGAAACCATTGAGCTAAATCCCCAGCCCTCGTGATATTTCTTTTAATGATTGTAACTCAAGATTTTTAAAAAGAGCAGCACTGACTTGAGCCAAAAATAGATATTAACCTGTGACCTTTTATTTTTGTTTCATGTACCCTGGAGGAAAATTTAAGACACCAGCATGCTTACAAAGCCAAATATGTATGCTTATATTAACTCATCTGCTGGCAGCTCTAACCTGTTGCTGAGACAGGAGGCAGAATAGACACTGACATTTTCATTATGCATTTGTCTAGCAGTTTGAAGAGAGTGAAACAATTTATGTGATTCCTTGAAGCATGTCTTGGCCATTTAAATGCATATTCCTAATAAAAATTATCACTGTATTTTAGAAAGTGTTCTGACCCATTCCCATCTTTTTCCTATTTCATGCTCTAGAATTATTATTTCAATATTCATTTGAATAAAACGAAGTAGCATTATTGCCTCATAATTAAAAGGTCTCATCCCTTACAGTGAAACCATTTCACTTTCTATTTTCATTTTCATTCCCTTTACTTTTTCCAAGGGCACGCTGACCTGACACTATCACCCCCTGTAACTGCTCCACATCACAAATCATCATATGGTTTTATTGACCTTATAAAAAATCCTATTATCTGATATCTCTACTGTATTTTTTCCTAGCCTATCTACCACTGTTCTCTTCTTTCCCCATTGACTCCATGTTTTTCTTTGCCCAGGCTGGGTTATGGATTCATCTGTTTGAGCAATCATTCTTTCAGAGAAATAGAGCCACATTAAGAATTTCAAACAAGGAATTTAACATTGGAACTGGATATCAAAGAATTGAAAGGTTAGAAATGAAAAAAAGGGAAAATATTTTAAAAAGGTTCCCAGAGATTAATGACTTTAGGAAATCATTCTCCCTCTTATGGAAAAAGAGAAATGTGGAACTAGGAGCACATGACTGTTGTACAGCTCACAACTTGGCTGCTGTTTCTGAACTGGTGCTGCTGAGGAAGAAAACAATCGACATGCCTCCTAGGCCACCACTTCTGACACAGCCAGAGGCCCAGTAAGGAAGCAGAGAGGAAAACACTTCTCCATTCCTTCCATGCGCCCTAAGGAAAAGCCAGATGGGAAGAGTGTCTAGGAAATGCAAAAATTTTTTCTGAATTGTGGAAGAAAGCTTGAGGGGGCAAGAATGAAGCTAGGGGCCAACAGACACATCCTGCTCTTTGGCTCTTCAGCCTCAAACGTCACCCTTTTACGATCTGTTTAAACTTCAAGTAGCAGTAGTTTATTACACAGATATGCCTTAAGGAAGATGCTGTCCCTCTCCTAAAAGAAATGACACAATTTCTCCTCACAGATCATTTCTAACTCTGGGTGATCTTAATTTTTCTTCCATTTTAATTACACCCTTCTTGAATTTTCTAAGAATAAAGGTAATCACCTACATTTCTTATATAGGAAAAAAAGAGAAAGGAATACATAATTGATCAATTTATACAAATAAATTCAAAGCAAAAAAGCAAATGAAATATACATGACTCCCATAGACTATTTCTGTGCAGTCATAAGGTTCCAATTTATATTTATAGCATGCTTTTTCCATTATCCTTCCAAGTTTCCTTTGCTCTCAGTTGGCACATTGGTTGTTGATTCAGTCAGGATCTCCAGAGAATACAGTCAATAGGCTATATATATAGATATATAGGAGAAGATTTATAATGGGAATTGGTGTCCACAATCATAAAAGCTGAGAAGCCCCACCATCTGCCATCTGCAAACTGGAGAACCAGGAAACCCAGTAGTGCAATTCTATGTGAGGCCAAAGGTCTGAGAAGTGGAAGGGTAGTGGTCCTAGAGCATGGAGATTCATGAACCAAGAACAATGATGTGTGGGGACAGAGAAGGCAGCTCTCCAGTTGTAGAAGACAGAGAGAAATTCACCCTTCCTCTGAACTTGTGTTTTATCCAGGTCCTCGATGAATTGGATGATGCCTAACTGCATTGGTGAAATCAATCTGTCCTCAGTTTTCCAGCCAAATGCTAATATCTTCCAGAAATACCCTCACAGATAAACCTAGAAAGAATGTCTTACCAGCTCTCTCAGTCAAGCTGACTCATCCTCACAGTTGTTTGGGCTTCCTCTCTTCATGGGGGCACCAGACTTTTACTGTGAAAGGTCCTTAAGGGTCCTGTCTTTATTGGGATGCTACAAGTTTGCACTAACACACTACCAGATATGGAGCTATTAGTATGAAGAATTCCCTACAGATTCCACATTTCTCTGTCTTCATTGGGTTGCAATCAATACCCAGAGCCAGAAAAAACTTCATTCTTTCTTCTTAGTACAGTGGCATGAAGAATCCAAAATGACTGCCTCTCAACTTCTAGGTTTATGAAAACATTGTTTTGTGCACATGGAATCATTCCTCACTTGAGACCTAAGAACTTTAAATTAGCAAATCTTAGAGTTGAAGAGATGGGAAGCCAAAAATTAACAAATAAAACAAAACCAAAAAACTCCGAGTGGATCTAAAAATAAGAGGAAGAGGAATGCCATTCACATTTTACCCTTTGGTCGTTAGACCTGTGTATTCCTGCTGGGAGAGAAATAGACTCTGAATTGGTCATTAATTTGAAGCCTATGTCATCTAGGCTCAAAGTATTATCTCCTAGTTGATAGTGTAATGGAGCTCTCAGGAGCCATTTCAAAGATGTATAAAACCAACTCGTTCAGGGTAATAAAGTATCCTGAACAGAAAGATCAGTGGAATTCCATGGATGTGAGCTCCTTTGCCTTACTTATTTTATTGTAAAACAAGTTCTCTATCCAAGCTGTTTTAAAAGATACTGTAAACCCACTAACCAGGGTGCTGGCAGGGTCATTGTGGACAGGGAATACAAATCTATATCCAGAGTAAGTGTTGATTCTGGTGAGAACAAATAGTTGTTTCCTCCATGGTAGAAGGTGTCCAATGTAATAGGCCTGTCACTAATTAGGTGGATGTATGGTTCCCTAAGGAATGGTGCCATGAGCTCACACTGATTTCTACTGTTGGCATGTTAGCCCCTGGGCATAGTGGTAACTGCATCAGCTTTGATGTGGAGAAGCCCACATAACTTTTATCCCTGTTTCCATGACACTGTGTACCACTTACACCAAAATCATGCATTTTGGCATTGAATCATGAGTTTTGAGCAGTATTATCTTGTATGTCTTTGTATTAACCAGTGCTAATGGAAAGATCCTGTGAATATAAAGCATCCAAGAAGTATAGCATTGATGGCATGATGACTGAAGGAAAGGCAAAGGAAATTCCAAGTAGACTTTACAGAGTGGACCAATGCAGAAACCAAGGAGGACTTGGCCTATGATGAAGTATTTCTTTTTGGTACCAGGGATCGAACTTGGGTCCTGGCTCTTGCGAGGCCAGCAGCAGAACGACTGAGCTAAATCCCTGGCCCCAAGCTGAAGTATTTCTTAATGAAAGAGGCTTGAGACTGCCTTATGCATTGGAGAAAAAACTTCTCCAAGGAG